TATATACACATACACATATGTAGAGTATTCATCGAGTAAATAAATACATAAAAGAGCTAGACTTTATAAGATATCGTACATCTCTGAAATTAATTTTCTATTAATACTCATTAATCATTCTATTAAGACGTTTAGTATTGACACATGTATGTTTGTATTACAAATACAATTGGTAATATGAAGGGAACGGGGGTAAAAATTTGTACACAATTTATGGCACGATTTTCGTATTGAAGAGATCAGGAAAAAAACATTAGAACGAAACAACACATTTAAACGCTATGTATATGCAACTGCTATGATAAATCAAATTGTCCGTGATACAAGAAATAACAAGGAAAGGGATTAGAATGATTTTACTTTCTTACGATACCTTCTCATGCTTCCATACATTTGATAAAATTATTATAAATTCCACCCTTAGCGTAACACAGTAGAGTTCCGGAGATGGGTGAATTTGCAGTATCACTATATCCATTGCTACCTTAAAGACTGGAAGACACCTACATTGAAATAAGATTCTTCGTATCGCAGATTTCAATATGCATGCATATACACTGCCGCATCTCCTACGAAAAAAAACATGACTCTCAAAAAGTTCGATAGACACAGAGAAGCTATGAATTTTAATATGCTCGGCAAAGAGAAAAAAAACTCGTCCATCTGCTTTTGCTTTAGTCGTGTTTTCACACAGATTAAAATAATACTTAGTAAACTTGCCTTAAATACAATGCGGCTTAGATCCAAAGTTTTTGTTCCGAAGTCAGATCTTTTATGCCATATCCAATCATTATCAACCACTGTCGTCGTCGCCATCGTCGTTGCGTCGTCATGATGATGATGATCATCGCCATCGTCATCGTCATCGTCATCGTCATCGTCATCGTCATCACCACCACCATCACCACCACCACCACCACCACCACCACCACCATCATCCATCATCATCCATCATCCATCCATCATCCATCATCCATCATCCATCATCCATCATCCATCATCATCCATCATCCATCATCCATCATCCATCATCCATCATCCATCATCCATCGCCATCGTCATCGTCATCATCATCATCATCATCATCATCATCATCATCATCATCATCATCATCATCATCATCATCATCATCATCATCATCATCATCATCATCATCATCATCATCATCATCATCATCATCATCATCATCATCATCATCATCATCATCATCATCATCATCATCATCATCATCATCATCATCATCATCATCATCATCATCATCATCATCATCATCATCATCATCATCATCATCATCATCATCATCAACATCATCATCATCATCATCATTAAAATCATTATTATCATCATTATCATCATCATTATTATTACTTTTTTTAAACCATGGCGTGCTTCTGTCAATGAAGCATAAAAGTTGTTCTGGTTGACAATTACATCTCACCACATATGATACGTTATTGGTTTCCATTTTTTTTCTCTTTCCTTCTTTCTATTTCCTTTTTTCTCTCATTTAATTTTTTAATTTATTTTTTCTCTTTCTCTTTCCATTCGCAACCGACATCATCAAAAGCCCAGTTCCTTCCAAGTATGTCCAGAAACGCTTGAGGCGGGGGCTCTATCGTTTCCTATATCATACATCACATTACAATATGCATAGTGTTTTTTTTTTTAGATTTCTCTATGGCGCGCTTCTCTATTTCGTTTTTAATAATTGTCAACCGGGGACCCGGTATAAGCTACGTATTATTTCCCGCGTATTTGAAGAATTACGTCAAGGTTTTGTAGGCTATTACTTCTGTGTTCACACACATATATATATATTAAAGATATTGGCTCGTCCCGATTTCTACATGTTCGATAATGTATTTTTTATTTCGCCTTATTTTCCGTTCTTATTCTTTTTCTTTTTTTTCTTTAATATGTTTATACTCTTTTGTAATCCTGAATTAATTTTCAAAAATCGCGCGTCATTTGTCACATAAATACACCTCACATGTTATCATAGTTTCATGGAGGGTCTCATACGTATTTTCGATAACTATTTATTGTTCGAGAATTCTCATACCATCTCAACAATCCTGACGATGCATTTCAAAGGCTTCAACAACAATGGAGAGACATTTTCGAGACTACATATCACATACAATAGCAACTTATATTCAGAAGATTACGAAATAACGTGTGCAGTCATCAACTACACACGTCAGCTACTCCAGTAGAATATAATCTTAAATGACTTGATTTATCAAATTACCATCGGATATAGGACGTAGTTGCGCGCTTTCCATAATCGAGTTCCAAATACAACATAAAACAACCTACATAATATGTACGAATACATTTTATCGTTGGTAAATTTCGTCGTTTTTCTTTCTGACTCGTTCCATTCGACTATCTGCATATTATTCTCATAAATATCGAACCCTTACAACCGCATGTATTTTTAATTACTTAATACTACCGTATATTGTGTAACGCGTATAAAAACTGTTCTACTGAGCTGATTTTTTTCTTTTTATATTTTTTTAACTTTCCTCAATTTAAAAAAATTTTTTATTTTGTTTATATTCTTCTTAGATTTGTTTTATAGCTAAGAACTTGTGTTTAATGTCATGTCACTTTTATTAGCACAAAATCTCTCCCCCTATCGTATTTTCTTAAGAATAATATCTGAATTAAACTCGTATAAACCATATCTTTGAATTGTACGTTACGAAATCTTATAATGAGTGAAGCTATCGTTACGATTATTTATAACAATTCAAAATCTAACAGATTCTTCAGACTCGATTAAAAATATTAATTACAACTCCAGAAAAAAATTAATTTGAAAACTAGAATGCTTTTAAGATATTCACAAATGAAAAGATTATGTGAAACAACGACAACAATAATAACAACAATAACCATAATCAATAATAATAATCATAATCAATAATAATAATAATAATAATAATAATAAGAATAATAATAATAATAATAATAACAACAACAACAACATCAACGATAACAGTATTAATAACGACAGTAGTAAAATATGTAGTAACATGTGTGCAATGAGAAGTGCACATATATATGTATGTGTGTGTTCAATACCTAGTCATTGTATTTTTGTTGAGCTTATTGTTCTTTTCTCGTATGGAGACGGCCGTTCACTTATACTCAAAAAATAATAAAGAAATGCAAAGAAACCGGATAAATAACATTACTGTATACACGAGGAATTGAATAATATAATTATTACGAAGTTAGCCATAATTATATGGACCTAATTAAGTAATATATCAATTTTTTGCACAAGTATTACTGAGGACAGAAAGATAAAGATGAACATAAACGCACCGATTATTTGACGGGAACTAATTTACTCCATTTTTACGCGATTACGACAGAAAGAAGAAGAAAATATAAGGACGTAACCACGCGGGCAGTATATATTTATTTATTATACGGCGTATGTGACGATGGGCACGAGATCAACACGCATTGGATATCCAACATTGTCAATATCGTGTAACCGGTGATCACGACACGTTTGTAACGCGCGTTGCGCAGGAAGCCAGGAAAGCGCGCACATCCGTTTATCCAACGATTACGGGACGTATTTTTTGGGCAATAAATTTCGCTAAGGTAAAATATGGATTTGGAGGTGTCGTATACGCTGAGGGTCAAAGAAGGAAGGGTGGCAATTAACTTGAACGACGATAAACGGCGCAAATGATGATTAAAGAACACGAAACGCCTTTTTTGTGAATCTTCACAAGTACATTGTTATTACATTCGTTTTTTTAAACCATTATTAGTATGATTATTATTAATCTAATTACCATTGAAAATAGATCGTATCATCAAAGAAAAAAGGAACAAAGGAAAAACGAGAGGAGAGAAATATTACACACGTTCTCAATGTGTATGCGCTGCTCAAAACGAAAATCGGTGGTGGTCGTCGTGTATATGTGTGTGTGTGTGTGTGTGTGTGTGTGAGCGCGCGCGCGCGCGTGTATGTGTCTCGCATGTGTATGTATGTGTGGGAAGAAAGCGCGCGCGCGCGCGTGTGAGCTAAACGGAGCGCAACTGCGATTGCCGTATTAATCTTCGGTAATTGTTCACGTTATTTAATTAAATCTAATATGTTAATAAAACGATATTACGTTACTACAGGTTAACGATATAATGTTCGCACGACCGAGTTTTAAATTCCCATACAGAATCGACGCATCCTACAAGTCTATTGGGTCTCCGAAATATCTTAAACATTTTTCTGCTGATCGGAAAACGATTCGAATAGTCGAACCCGCACGCACTTTCCTTATTACTCGAAAGAAAAGTTACATAAATACGATATATCTATCATCTCGTATCGAAAAGCATTATGGATAGACGATGGAAGAATATAACACGGTATCGGTCACACGCACGCACATTGTTGCTTCTTCGGCGTTTCTTAATACGCTAAACGGTAAATGTTATCATCGCATAATATCGAGCAACCGTTCTAGCATTTATAACATTTTTACACGCATTACGAAACTCCGTGCTTGCCTAAATATGCAAGCTGAAAAATCCGAAGCGCGACGACTTATATATATATATATATATATATATATTTACGTGTGTGTGTAAAGAGAAACTGGTAAAAGAAACAGGTGGAAAGAACAGACATCCACGAATAAACGTTCGAACGATGCTCCGATTTTGTGATTACAAAATGACACGTTGTAAAACGCATAGCTAATTGTATGAAAAATGACCCGACATTTCGACACCTTTGTAATTGCTGATTTTAGGTTTATCAAATTTTTTCAATGTTCGATTATCGAATAAACTGCACACTGACAAATTTCTGTTAGTAAGTGATATTCTATAGATTTCTTAAACAATTACCTTTCTTCGTTTATCACAAAGCGGTCACGATTTAATGTTTGCGGTAGAAACCCGGAACGTTCTGTACGATTAAAAAACAGTACACGTACTTGCGCGTCATTATCACAGAAACGGTCATCGAACACGACGCGATATACATCTGCTTGCATGCATACATACCTAACTCGTACATGCATACATGGGTGTATGCCTATATGTATGTGTATACATACATGTGTGCGTGCGCGCGCGCGTGGGTGTGTGTGTACACATACATACACACATCCATATATATATGCGTATGTATGAACACATATACGTACTCATGTGCACATATATTTACACCCACACATATATACATACACATTCGTATGTATATCCATGTATGTATAGTGTTACAAGCATCATCCTACTAGATTCTTTAAAATTACATGCTACATTGTTTCTCTTGTACGAATATTTTTAAAACATTTACAAATGTCTAACGATTTTTTGTTGTAGTAAGATGGCCGTAACTTACGGGTACAAAAACGTAATACGAATAAGAATTGAAAAATTTGTTCGGTAGGAGGATGCTACAACACAGTTCTTTCTTACATCGGAAG